GACAGCAGGATCTGCGGGTTTGAGATTCTTAATATCCCCCTCCTCCCCGAGGGGGTAGCAGGGACAGAATTCATTTCAGCTCAGCAGATCACAGCAGTTTCTTAAGAGTTAACTCTCCTCTCCCCATCCATCAGGCAGCCAGCGAGGCATCAGAAAGGAATGATGGATGTAAAATTATTACAGGGCTGCCACCCGATATACTTACTGCCATTTGTAACTAACGCTGGAACTGACACACTTTTTTCATTATTAAACATCCACATTAAGTCAACATTGGTCACTGTCATTTCATGTTTGGCACTCTCTTAAGGGGAAGGAGGGAGAGCTGGGGATAGGAGTGGAAGGATAGAATGGGAGGGAAGGCATCTTGAACCTGATGGTCCACAACCATGGGTAATATATAGGCTCTTGCTTACAAAACAGGAATAAATATTGTTACAAATAGCTCTTTAGCTACAGCTCAGCAGACAAGTACATGTCAGAGCCTTTCAGAAGGCCACACTCCTCACAGCAACCGAGAAAATTTGTACTGTGAGTTAAGCCACGTTTGAGCATGGGATGTTTACATATGTGAATGTTCTCATCTCAGAGCATGCTATGAGTGCTCATGCATGTTCAACATGCTTGCGTGGCTGCGTGTACTTACACAGCAGTGCCAGCTGCCCAAACCTTCTGCAGCAAGCTCCAGCACTGTGTGCTTACCAGTGAACACGGAGAGCTCAAAAACCTGCTTATGTGTCCCCTCCTTTTTCAGTTACCCGAGTGCACACATGGATGTTTGAAACTCTGGCTACAGTCTGAAAATCATTGGCAAGCCCTAGACATGTTTGTGCTGTGTATCTGTGCAAGAGCACGCTGTAGGTTTGCATGCATGCACACAGATGCTGGCTCCGTGTGTTTGTGTATGTCTTGTTTGCAAAGGAACAGTCAGTTTGGGGGCAGAGCAAACATAGCAGAGTCCACTTTCTGATGCCGCCCATTGTGGTGTTTGCACTACATGACAATCTACGCTCTCAGTTGCATGTATAAAAGGTATCACTGTTTATGTATAGTACCTATCAAGCTATAATTAACCGGAGATGACAATTACAAATAAAACTATGCTCCTGGGTTTCCAAGAAACCAGAAAAACATATACACACACTTCTCATTTATACACAGAAATGTTTCCAAGAAAAGTAAAGTAAAAATATGCTTTATTGCATTTGCAATTAAAATAGGTTTTACTAAAATCCATGTTCATCATGATGTTCATGGTTTTTACTGTAATCCTCTGAAAATCAAATCCCTCAAGATGGTCCAAGTTGGATGCCTATAAAATGACTCGCCCAAATCATCCTAGCCATTCTTTAAAAATCTTTCCTCATTCATGACAGCTTTTATACAGCGCCTCTCCAGTTCTACAGAATTCCTGTCTCACTATTGCCTTTCAGCTAGCAGGTCCGCTTGTCTGTGAGGATCAACCCACCTGGGAATGGAAGTGAGATAACAGGTCATGGACATGTGTGGAGAAAAGCCTTGGGAGTTTTAACAGAATCCCAAAGGTGATTTCCAGTCCTGAAAGACAGATCCCTACCAACAGTATAACTTACATCTCCTGAGCTATAAAGGACCTACCTTCAGTGGTCCTTTACTAGCAATTAATACAACAAAAATGCCAGAGGTCTCAAAGAACCATAAGTCTCCAAAGCTACATTAGCCACCGCAGCAAAGCAAAGAATATTTGGAATAGCCCAAGCCAGTGTTAAAGATTGAGATCACTCTGAAGGAGGAAGAACTGCACAGAACTATAGGTATAACTTTCAAAGTACAAGTATGTCCATGTACACACAGGTGTCTTAGCTGAACCTCTTTCAATTCTGCCCCTCACTCCAAAATCTCACTTGTAAACAAGGGAACAAAGGGCACACAACATTGCAGAAGCTCAGGGGCTGTCCTGGGCTTGTGAAAGGAAACCCTCAGTGGTAACAATGCAGCATTTCTATTTGTTGCTACCCACCTTCCCAACTCTTTTTCTTTTCCTCATAAGCAAACAAACAACAACAACAAAGAGTATCAAATTTGATGCAAAATGGAAACAAATCCTGCTTTTACCAAGACAGAAAACTTCAACTCAAATCCAAGGACAAACAGCCAAAAACTTCAGAGAAGCTGGGGTATGAACCTGAATTTCACAGCTGGCTGGTTAGTAGATGGCCTAGAGCATTAAGAGGAAAGGAGAACAGGTTCCTAAACTTCATGCCCTCTTTCCTTCTGTTGCATCAGATGCAAGAGAAAGTTCAGGAGACCCTATAACAAGTCCAGTGCAACTTAACTAGTGCTTATTGGGTCAACCCAAGGAAATCTCAAATTTGGTTCTGTCATTTCCTGTCTCTGTATAAAATAAAATAAAATAAAATAAAATAAAATAAAATAAAATAAAAT